CCAATTTTCCCAAAATTTTCATGGAATAATTTTCATTAAAAAAAACCCAAAAATAAGGAAAAAAATCACATTTTTTCCCTCATTTTTCTCCCGATTTTCCCCAAATTTTCAGGGATCAACTATCGGGATCCAAGACACATCCAGCTCATTTTGGGATCCCAAGTGGCCCAGGAATTCCGAGATTCCCTAAAATCCAGACTGGGATTGACGGGATGCGCCGGAATCGCTCCCAGTAAGTTACTGGCCAAACTGGTGTCGGGGACGTTCAAACCGGATCAACAGACGCTTCTGCTCCCGGAAAAAATTCGGGAATTGTTACGGGGCTTGGAAAACGTCGGGAAGGTGCCAGGTGAGAGCTGGGAATGGTGGGAAAAATCCGGGGAAAATTCCTTGGAAGTTGTTAAAAATCTGTTAAAAAATGTGTGAAAAAATTCCTTAAAAATCCCTTGAAAATTCCAAAAAAAATCCTTTAAAAATTCCTTAAAAATTCCTGGAAATTCCAAAAAATTCAATTAAAAGTTTCTTGAAAATTCCTTAAAAATCTGTTAAAAAATCCTTAAAAATCCCCATTAAAAATTCCTTAAAAATTCCTTTAAAAATTCCTTTAAAAAATCCCTTAAAAAATCCCCCAAAAATTCCTTAAAAATCCCTTGAAAAATGTTTTAAAAATCCCTTAAAAATCCCTTAAAAGTTCCTTAAAAATCCCTTAAAAAATCCCTTAAAAAATCCTTAAAAAATCCTTAAAAATTCCTTAAAAATCCCTTGAAAAATCCCTAAAAAATCCTTAAAAAAATCCTTAAAAATCCCTTAAAAATCCTTTTAAAATCCCTAAAAAATTCTTTAAAAATCCCTTAAAAATTCCCTAAAAATCCTTAAAAATCCCTTGAAAAATACCTTTAAAAATCCCTTAAAAAATCCTTTAAAAATCCCTTGAAAATTCTTTAAAAATCCTTAAAAAATCCCTTAAAAATCCCTAAAAAATCCTTAAAAAATCCCTTTAAAATCCCTAAAAAATCCTTTAATAATCCCTAAAAAATTCCTTAAAAATCCCTTGAAAAATCCCTTAAAAATCCTTTAAAAATCCCTTGAAAATTCCTTTAAAAATTCCTTAAAAATCCCTTAAAAATCCATTAAAAATTCCTTAAAAATCCCTAAAAAATCCCTTAAAAATCCCCTAAAAAATTCCTAAAAAAATCCCTTAAAAATCCCTTTAAAATCCCATAAAAATCCCTTAAAAATCCCTAAAAAATCCTTAAAAATCCCTTGAAAAATCCCTAAAAAATCCTTTAAAAATCCCTAAAAAATCCTTAAAAAATCCCTTAAAAATCCTTCAAAAATCCCTAAAAATCCTTAAAAATCCCTAAAAACCCTTAAAAATCCCTAAAAACCCCCTAAAAATTCCCAAAAAAAATTCCAGGCATCGGCCACCGCACCACCCAACGCTTGGAATCCTTGGGAATCCGCAACCTCCGGGATCTCCAGGATTTTCCAATGGATTTGTTGGAAAAGGAATTCGGTTCTTCCACAGCCCGAAAACTCCGGAATCTCAGTCTGGGAAAAGACAATTCCCAAATAATTCCATGGAGACCTCCCCAGGTATCAAAACCCTTCAAATATCCCAAATTTTCCGGGAATTTTCCAGCATTCCAAGGGTTTTTTTTCCGTGTTTTTCCAGTCGTTCAGCGACGAGGATTCGTTCCCAAAATGCTCCTCGGAAGCCGAAGCCAAGGAAAAACTCCGGGAATTGCTTCCCAACCTTTTATCCAGGTGATTATTCCCAAAAAACCTGAACTCTTGGACCTCTTTCCTCCTTGATCCTGGAATTTTTTCCTGGTTTTCCATAGGATTTCCAAGGATGGGAGGCGACCCCACACCCTGCGCTTGACGATCCGGAGGTTTTCCCGGGAAAACGGGAATCGGAGGGAAAGTCGCCAGTGCCCCATCCCATCCCACCTCATTCCCAAGTTTGGGAAAGGTAAGAAATTCCCTGGAATTTTTAGGATTTTTTTAGGGATTTTTAAGGATTTTTTAAGGATTTTTTAGGGAATTTTAAGGATTTTTTAGGGATTTTTTTGGGATTTTTTTGGGATTTTTTAGGGATTTTTAAGGATTTTTTAAGGATTTTTTAGGGATTTTTTAAGGGATTTTTTAGGGATTTTTTAAGGATTTTTTAAGGATTTTTTAGGGATTTTTTAGGATTTTTTAAGGGATTTTTTAAGGATTTTTAAAGGATTTTTTAGGATTTTTAAGGATTTTTTAAGTCATTTTTAAGGGATTTTTGGAATTTGTTCCCTAAAAATCCTTTAGAATTCCTTGAAAATTCCCTAAAAATCCCTAAAAAATCCCTAAAAAATCCTTTAAAATTCCTTAAAAATTCCTTAAAAAAATCCCTTAAAAATCCCTAAAAAATCCCTTAAAAATCCCTTAAAAATCCCT